CTGTAAGAGAATTTTCTTTTGATTAATCAATTGAGCTTTTTATTTGAAAATTATATTCTTTGAAAAAAGTTCCTTAGTTATGCTACCTTCCTTCTGTATATTATATTCCTTTTTAAAATAATTACGACCAAGAGTATATTGGACATGTAATGCATGAGATATTTGAGTTTTTTTTGAAAGAAATATTATTTGAGTTTCAAATCCATTGTTGATCATATTAGGGAGACCAGATTTATGTTTCACTGTTTATTTTTGTAAAATTTTATTGCCTTTATATTAGCAAGTTTATATGCTTTGTATCTATGTCCATATTAAAATAGAACAAAGGCAACGTTTTTCTCTTACATAAAAAATAGTTCATGCAAGAAAACCCTCTAACAAAAAAGAAAAAGCTCATGTAAGAATTGCCTATCTAAGTTTTTGATCTTGCTATTGATTGCTATAAAGTCATTTGACTGATAATTTATTTGAAAAACTGGAAGCATAATTAGTATTGGTCAAAAACAAAAGTTATTTGCCTGATTATCTAATTTATATCAGTAGATACAGTAAAATACTCTACAGTTATACTTTTGTAGAATACATTGTCACAATCGAAAGAATGATGAATTAATTTGATATCAATATTGATTGCTACTTTGAGAATATATATTAGCTTGAATAATCTGTCTTAAGGCATCATCGAACTTCAACAACATCTATAAGATCATTTTATTTTATCAACCTTACAGTTAGATTAACGGAAAAGCCTTTGGTTGTCAATGCAAGCCGGGGCAGTAGAGTTTTCAAAAAAAGTTTCGAAGATATCTCATTTTCTTCAATGTGACATTGTGATTTGTGATTATATACTACATATAAATGGATTCAATGACGTAGCGTTTTATATTGTTTTTTTTTTTGTTAAATTATAGGGAAATAGATGATTTAAATTGCAGATTGTGCTCACTCGAGAATATTTTCAAATATTCTCACCTCACTCGAGAATATTTAGCCCTAGATGATTCAAATTGTGCTCTATCGATCTTAAAACTGCAAAGTATATATAGAATTCTTCACTATAGAAATCAGATAACGTATAAAACGATTTTGGGCCCTTCTCATAATAATCTCAAAAGCCGATAAATCTATAAACACATGCATCTGTGTATATATGTACGTAAACTATGTACACAAAACCAACAATACATGTATATAAACAAATTAAACAACACACACCAAATACATTCGTGTATGTATATGGATTTTAAAAAAGAATCACACACCAAAAATCTAGTCTCATTAGTCATTACTCTCACTAAAATCGAAACCCAAGCAAAGAAAATTCAGGTTCTGACTACTTTTATGGATATTTTTTTTGTTAGGCCCATAAACTTAATGCCAAGGCCCATGAAACCTGTTTGAGATGTGCATTCGAGTACATTTCTCCGAGTAAAGAAAACAAGTAGAGAACAGAGTTTTATGATTGATTGATCTTAAGTTCTTAACATTCTACATGATATATACACAAAGAGGCTGTTGAAATGCTCTGTTTTCATCATCATCATCGTATTGATCTTCATCTTCTATGCTTGTTTCTTGCCAATTAGGGTTGGAGTCACAGAGAGCACACCAATGAGACACAGAGTCGCCATGGAGCTGAAGTCATAGAGATCTCCCAATGATTTTAGCTCTCCAAGAGCAAGCCCAGCCTGGTCACAAAGTCAAACACATTTTCGTTAGATAATATTCAAACTCATTGAAACCATAAGACAAAAACCAGGAAGATGCATGAAAATTCTCATACCCGGACAGTGACAAATGCAGCAGGAATCAGACCGATGAATGTAGCTAGGAAGAAGATATGATAAGGAACATCAACAATTGGAGAAGCAACATTAATGAAAGTGTTAGGCAATGTTGGTGTTAGCCTCAAGAACAGCATATAATTCAGCAACCGATCTTTTCTTCTCGCAACCTAAAGAAACAAAACCCGCAAAAACTCTTTCAAAATTTCCTCGGAAACTTATATCGAAGAAAGCGCAATAAGATTGATTTGATTAGTTTTTCAAACCTGATCTTGGAAGAATACGAGCTTGTCAGGCCAAAGCGAGAAGAGTAAAGGTCTACCAATGAGCTTAGAGAGGAAATAACAAGAGGAAGCACCAGCTGTTGCAGTGGAGACAACAAGAGCCATTCCTTTGACAACTCCAAAGAGAGCACCAGCAAGCAAAGACATGAACACAGTTCCAGGAATCATGAACGTCTGCATAAAAACGTACACCAGACAATATCCAACAAGAACTTGAACTGTGTAATCACTTGTGTATATCTCAAGATTATCTCTGCATATCAAAACACTAAATGTTAGTAAATCAATCAATTCCAAAGCTCAATATGTTAAAAAATCAAAACTTTCTTCATGTTCTATATAGATTCAAACATTGCCAATATTAGCAATAACCCTAACACGAGATTAGCTTTAGCTTCATGGTTCAAGCATATACAGATTCCAGAATCCTAAATTGGAAAGTCACGGTCTTTGAATCAAAGAATGAACATTTACTAAAAACCCAGAAATAATCAATACTAAAAACAATAAATTTACCTAAGAATCTGAAGATCTTCGAGATTACGAGGTAGCTTGAGAAAGCTGTAATCAGATTGAGGCATTGTGAGATAAACGCAAACAAGACCCAAAATAAACCCTAAAACGACGCCGGAAGCTGCCGTGACCTCCCAAAAGCTCAGAGAATATATCGGAGTCGGTAATTTCGCCGGCGCCGCCGGAACAACGCCGATCGTTGTTGTTGTTTCTCCTTCTTCTTTCTCCATCTCTCTTGTATCGATATCGAGAGAGAGAGAGATAGAAGAAAGGAGGGATAAATAGAAAGAGAAGTTTAAAAGCTTTTCCTTACACGAATCCTTTTCTCTGTCTCTGTCTCCTCGAAATCTGAATGACGGAGAAAGATTGAATTTGAAGGAGACGAAGGAAGAAAATAAATATAAAGGAATATTCGAATTTTGATTTTGAAGGATTTGTTTTTGGAATTTAATATGTAAATCTAAATTGAAAAATAAATAACAAAACTAATTTCTACCTTTAAAAGTTTTTTGCGGCCCTAATGTTTTCGTGGTTTATAAATTTAGCCCCGAGCTTTATATATATGCATGTCGTATACCCAAATTCGTTAACATTTAGGAAGTTTTATTTTACAGATCTATTTAAAAATTGTTTAAACTATGGCGATTCAAACTAAAGGTGACATAGTACATTTTAAAAAAAGTTATTATCTAAGTTATGATAAATTATTAGCTATAATATTCATAATCCATGTTACCTCCAATAGCTTCAAATACAGATGAATACATTATACATGATGAGTTTAATTTTGTCCGTATTATTAGAAAATGTTTATGATTGGTACGCATAAGAATCACATATAAACAAAGTTAATTATAACCAAAGCTACATGATTCCTGCAAGCTATGGCTATGTAGATAATTAAATATTACAGTTGTTAGTATATAAATATAGCCAATTTAAAGAAAAAAATCATACGCATGCAATATTACTTCTTTTTATATTATGGAGGATAATTTATTTGTTGAGTTAATAGTTGGACGATAATATTTTTTTTTTGGGGAGCAAAATAAAAAAGTAGCTCACTACTAATCTTAGTATATAGTATATACTTTTTAATTTAAATCAATACTAATCTTACTATATTATAATCAACATCGTAACCAACAAACAGTCAGCATTGTATCTTGAATCAGACTTCTCTAATTGTGAGTATTAACAATAAATCAACAATTCATTCTATATATAATACAATCAATTTTTGATTTGATAATTGATAGTGTGGTGCTTCGCCCACCGAATATGGCACATAACACGTTTAAACGAACATGTGAGCAGTGAGCTTATAATTGCCTATGTTGCTTCACGACAAAAGTAAATTACATAGATATATGAAGAGAATATATACGTCATTTGGATGTCAAAAGTTTTTGATCCACTTCCAATCTAAATCCGTTATTATTACTATTATAATGATACAATTTGTATATATTAAAATATATATTTACAAACCTAGGTTGACCTCTGAAACATCTGTCACCTAATCAGTGTCGATGATTTTGAGGAAAGAAACATCATAACAAAAAAAAGTTGAGAAATTTGGGAGGGACAAATGTATGAATAGCGAGACAAATGTGTTGTGTTTCTCTATTTCTTCTGCCACACAAGAAAAGACAACATCCTACAACGCATCGCATGCATTGTCTTTCAAACCCGCTCTATCAAAGGGAGGCTTACCGCTAACGAGACTAAGAGGTCTTTACGATGTATTATTGTATTCCACCTGCCAATGCTATTATTGCCATATATTTTAACAAAATGAATAGAAAATTAAACCGTTAATGATACAAAAAAATATGGCAATTTGCAACTTTTGCCAAATCTCGGAGTGTGATTAAATAGGTATGGCATTGAACTATTGATAGATAGGGCCACACATAATCTTACAAAAAAAAAAAAGATAGGGATACATAAAAAAAAAATTGTTATATTGTTGAATGATGGATGCCTTGATTGGAAGATCTGAAACGATTAAGATTGGTAAAGATGAACATAAACGGACGCTTAATACATATGTGATTATGCAAATTAAACAAAAACTAGAAGAATGATTGATTTATAAAAAATTATTGCCTACAAACTAGATCATTGTTCAATACTTCAACGTAATTTTTACCGCCAAAAATAATTCCAAACAATATGAAACACCTCGTTGACATCTTAGTTATATAGTAGTAATTGCTAACTACAGTTCAAATATTATTGAAGGAAAGAATGTTCGAAAAACAATGAAGATAAGAGTATCAGAAAATAGTACCCTCTACACACATTCATGCATATAACAAAACGCTTATAGACAATTAGATATCATCCTTGCACATGTATGCTGTGCTATGGAGACAAAGTACTCATATATAGTAGATATTAAGATAAGCTTTGGTCATGCTTGACTACTCTGTACGCCACTAGTGATCGATTTTGAAACTAAATCGATGTTTTCTTGTGGCATACAGGGAGCCAGGCACGACTATTATTCCATATATATATATATATATATATAGTATATATGTATACAAAACCCTTAAATATGATTGGTGGATAGCTTATACGTCGATCTTGATTTAAATAAAATCAAAATGTGTATGTATTTCATTGAGGGGAAAACATGAAACCAGAGAGAAAGTGGCGGATATTTTTGGTCAAGAATTTGGGGAGAGGTACGAGTATAAGAGGAATGGTGGCACACATATATAGAGGAGAAAAATGATAAACTTACTTTGCTTAAAAGAATTTGTGAGATGGAACATAAAGGTGCATTTTGAAGGCCAAGATGAATAATTAAATAACTGCAAAAAATACTTATCTTAAAAGTCTTATAGTTTCTGAATCGAACTTGAAATCCTGCAAAGAAAAAAAAAAGAGAGTTTGCTTTAGTTTTAGTGGGCTAACTTATTCACATACACCATTTTTATATACAGAGGATAATGTAAGATGGAAATCAATATGGATTCTCTTTTGTTAAAGGCAATAAAGAGACAGACACAGCGTGCAACACTTCTGGGTTACTTTAGTTTAATTTAATAGTTTCAAGTTGGTTATGATAATAAGAAACATTCATAGTATTATTAAAGATAAAAGATAGATATATAGTATCATACAAAACAAGAAAAGAGTTCATGGCCATGGCAATGAATCATCATCATCATCACCACATACATTTTCATCTTAGTCTAATATATTGACTCTAGATAGCCTCGATGGATCTTTGCATTGAATTCCAAACATTCGATATTAAAGTTCATATGCGATTTTATTTATATCCGGAACCATTTTTGTTAGAAATAGCCAAATAGAAATATTCACGTACTACATAATGTTTGATGTTTTTTTGTTGTTTGTCACCGTTTGATATTGCAGTTCATAGAAATGGTTCCAATAGTGCATATTCACAGCTTTATCTTTTCATTGGGTCGTGGGCTCTTTCGACTTTCCCTTTTGCTTTCTATAATTAAAGAGGCTTTTTCTCTGACCAACAAAAGTTCTGGTTCAATTTTCGACAAAACCAGCATGGCTTTGTTTTTTTCATCCTCCAAACTCCAAAGAGATGATTCAACCGAACCGAATCAAAAATCGAAATATAGTGTTTCTTGCAACCAGTTCAGTTTCATTTATGTACAAACTGACTGAACCAAGCTAGTTTTAGACGAACCAGACTTTCTTTGAAATGAGCTTTTTTTTAGGAATATTTAAACATTAAGTATTTTTAAAATTTTGGTTGGAATTTATTACAAACGAAGTATATACATATCTGACCGTTTGGAATAACATATTTAAACATTTTCTATCATCAACTATGTATAGTACTACCGTCCGAACCATATTTATAGTATTACAACTCCACACAGTCTACCCAAAAAAATCAAAAGGCCTTTGATAAATAAAATAGAATAAAATTCTTACGTATCACCCAATCTAGTTTTAACTCTCAATTATCTGTATTGAATTAGTTCTTCAGTCAAAGTCAGTTTATGAAAAAACTCTCTTTGAATACATTAAAGCGAAACCATAAGGGTTTCGTTTAATAAAAGGTTGTGTTGTGTTTGTGAGACAAAAGGACTATAAAGAAAAATATCATGCAGTTTGATCTAACTACGTTCCAAACATATTCAACATTTGATTGACCTAAATTAAAAACTTAAAAGGTTTTCTTGTGGAAACTTGAGTTTCTCATAAAAGTACCAACATGACATGTGGTAACATTGATTTTCAGATGTGGGAACGATTTTTTCTTTTTCCTCAAAGATGTGGAAACGATTAGAGAAAAAGTCTACAGAAGATTTTGAGCGGCGACAAAAGAGATGGACGATAGATAAAGAGTATTAAGACTGGGACACTTTGATGGAGAAACAATTAGCTCTTTCGTTAAGAAAAAGCGCTCCTAGCGGCTATGCAAAAAGTTTGGATAAGAGGTTATACCACGGTTGTGTTTAAAGGCGATATTAATTAACATATTCAAGGGTCCTATAACTTCATCCCACATTTCCAATCTCTTACATGATATCTATCATTGACGTTCAAAGTTTACATTGACACTTTTCAATTCACAAAACGCTCATGTAATAATATAGTTCATCATCTTGCTAAGCAAGGTTAATTGTAACCAATCTGTTTTTTTTTCTTTCTAATTGTGATTCAGTAACTCCGCTTGGATGGCTAAATCAACTCTTATCTGATGATTTGATCGATTGTTATATTACTTTTGACGGAAAAATAAATAATCTAAAGTTGGCATAAATAAACTAATAGAAGAAAATATCTAACTACGATTTAGAGCTTTTTTTGTTAACATGTAGATCCATTGTGTATAAACAAATTTTCATACTATTTTTCTCTTAAGCTCAAACAGATTGTTTTATTTCGCAAATCACAACACAGCATTTCTTAAATGGAAATCATTAATGAACTTTAGTAGACGGCTTAATCCACAAATTATACTTATAGATTTTTCAAATAAATTGGATGATATGTGAAGGACTTTTGACTATTTCTTAGCCAAAAATGACTTTAGTGTTCTAGAAATAAAATATATGGATTCGTTATGTAACGACAACTTATGATATGACAATTAATGTTTGTTTTGCTGGAAATAACCAAACATATGCGTCTCCAAGAGACACGATCACGGATGTTTCGCTTTAGTATAGACAAAGCTTTTATGCAATTACGTTTATTTGTTTCAAACTCTTGTGTTTGTATTCTATATTGCGTATAGACAAACCTTTGGTCGTCGTTCATACAATTTTACACGTTAACTGTTTTTTCCAAGATTTTCCCATCTACCGAATTGTATACTTCCTCGTCAAGAAAGTAAGACAGGAGCAGGAGAAAAATTATCCCAAACTCATCTCACTTTACTTTATTGACCATACATCATAAATATACTGTTACATAGGCTTTTTTTGTTGGCATTTGACACATACAAATTTGATTTCTTTTGGTATTAAGTGAAAGCAAAAGTCTCTTTCCAACTCAAAGTTTAGCTCAATAGCAAAGAAGCAATCTTTCTCTTACAACCTATTAATGAACGATCCCAGTTCGGAGTTTGAATTTGATATACTGTGAAAGATAAATTTGGTCTATAGGAAATGTACCAATAAAGATATGACGTTTGGATTTAGGGAGTGTCACGGAAAGATCTACAGCGTATCCGCATTCTGAGTCGAGCTAGAGAATATTGTTATCACCAAACGAGTTCACGATTTTCATCGTTATCCACACAAAGACTAGTGATGGGGCAAGTTAAGCGTTACTTCTAATATAGTACGACGACATCATTATGCCATCTAACTCGATATGAATGTTCTGATTATGTGTTTTAGAGATCACATCCATGCAGTTTTTTTTTTTTTTTTTTTTTGCTAAAGCACATCCATCCAACGTACGTACGCTAACAGTTGTTCTCTAATTGAAACCATTTTTCCAGCTTTTATGACTTTAACGTACGTTAGAACTTGGAAGAAAGTCTTGGTGCCTCGAGCGACCTTCACTGTTTTCTATATGGTGCAAGTTTATAATTCAAAGATCGATCGGTTTCCAAAGATGTTCAAGAGTAGCTAGGAGCAAAAATCCAAATAAGAAAAAAGACAACCGATCTAGACTGAAAGTTTATACAATGTTATGAACTCATTTGAATTCGGAAGTCAATTTTAGCTACAGAGACCGAAAGAGTGAGCAGCCATTGAATTACAAATTGACGACTATGTATCTGTTGCGTAAGCCGTGTAACAATAACATTACATAGAATTTTAAGGCTTGTCTTATCTATACTCGTTGACAATGTCAAATAAATATAGCATAGGAATTTTATACTATATGGTCCTACTAATTACATGGAACCCTTAATATATACGACTGTTTAAATAGTCAACGAGATAAATAGAGAGTTGGTAAGTGTTTGGTTTTAATTTGACAATGTGAAACAAGCCTGAACATTGACCCTTTAAACCATAACAGTAATTTAACGGTCAAAAATAGTAATTAAGTATGTAAACAAGATCTTCCGTGAGAATGAAATTAAACCTCATTATTTAAATTATACTAGTAAACATTTTCTCCAACCGTAGGAAATTTCGTTTTATGTTTTTTTCTAATTTGTCGTGATCCTTCTCATTCCTTTGAAGACAACAAGATTCTATTATGTAAGATTTTTTCAAAGATCCAATAGTATAATACAACGTAATATATAATACCAACTTTATAGTTACACCTTCTAATAAAATCCACTTACTCGTTTATGTGTTCCTCACGCTATCGACTTAATGTTTGGAACCCGCGAGAGAAGTTCTTTAATTAAATTAGTCAATCGAAAAAAGCTATCCATTTCCTTTATCAAAGTAAATCAATTCGAAAATCTCGTATTAACTTGATCATCCAAATCCATATGTATATTTTCGAATAATATAAAACAGAAATTGAGATAACCTATACTAAAGAGAGTTTCACGTAAAAAATTTATATTTTCACGTAACAAAAAATTACAAAACAATTAAACAAAAAACAAATGATAATAGCATAGGTAATTTTTTGTGACTTGAAATTCAGAACGTATGGTAGGCACAAACGACGGTTTGGTAACAATAAGGAGAATAATAATAATCTTCGTTTGAATTCAAATAGAGGAAGAAGAAGCGAAAGGGTAGGCTTTGATCAACCATGAGACATTGAAGCAGGTAGAGATAATTCTTTGAATGCGGTGGAAGCAATCACATAATGATAAATGCAAGATTCCAATTTTGATGAACTTTGCAATGAGAACATAATATTGCTTTTCAATTAAATATTAGTAAAATATACCCTTCAAGAAAAGTAGTTAACAAGTTTAATTTATAATCATGCATTTATGCGAAATTCTTATTTGTAGGTTTTAATCTAAATAGAGAAATATACACATATATAGGAAATATTCAAAAATGATCACATGCATGTTTAATTTTTGAAAAATGTGGCTTTCTTTTATAACATAATTTC